TCCCAGAGAGCATGTGTGAGCAGTGGGAATGCCTTATACGCAACTAAACCTCGGCATCCCTACATGCTGGCTTGCCTAAATTTGGGTAGCCGGACCATGGATGAGGCAAAAATGCAGTGGGATTATGGGGTTCGCTTAAAGGCTATGCACGGACTGTTTTTGAAAAACCTCTACACCATCAACGCTGCTTGAACCCTGTCGGTCTCAACCCAACAGCCTCATGCTTAGAGTCGAAAACCAAGGTCCCAGGAGAGTATGTAGCCAAGGTAGTACGCCGTAATCTACCATACAAATCAATGCACCTCTAACATTACATTGATTACATTGCATGACGCATCTAGAGACCTAAAGCCCTGGAAGAGTACTTTAAAAAGGGAAGACTACCCTCAAACGGGGGGTCCGGGTCGATTCGAGGCAATCTCCTAATGATGGGAATGACCTTTGAAGGGTTGGCTTTAGAAGGATTGTAAGGGTCTTCGAGGGATTTTACAGGTCTTTGAAGGCAACTGTATCTGGAGCCCCGTATCCAATGCGTAAGATCCCCAAGACTCCGAAAAAACAGCACCTGGAGCTTTTCGATGGCACCGGCTTTTATCGCTAGCTTTGCGTACCTCGGGCTACGAGGGCATGTAAGGGTATATCGTCTTTAGGGTTTAGGGCATGAATCTCAATTGTAAACAAGTGGGAAATGCAATTTCAGCTGCGGGATTACGGGGATACAGATGGCTGAGGGTAAAGGGTATGGGTGTGTATGGCTATGTATATGGCTAGGTATAAGGATCTATAAGGACACAATTGTTAGAAAGGGATATGGGCAGGGGGTTATATGGTACCCTAGCGACACCCCAGGAATTCGAAGAGGGATCTTTGCGGGCTCTATAGAGATCGTTTCGCGCGACTCCCATAACTTTTCAGAATGACTGCAGGAATCCTTTCAAAGAACATGCGCGCTCCCGTACAAGAGCTCAGAAAATGAGAAGAATTAGGAAACCAAAGACTAGATGAAACAGGATGGTTTCTTTGTACTTCTCTGGGCTTTCTAGGGATGGGAGTGTCACATGTGAACCTAAGCTCAAGATTTGTCTGCCAGGGAACCACAGCAGTTCCCTATCGAGACACAAAATACATGTAGGTCTTCTGTGACTACGTATGGGCGAAATGGTGGTTCGCGAGTGCAAGTCTACCCTTTCAAGTTCAGGCGATTCCTGAATTTCACCTGACCAACGACGTCAAATTCCTCACTCCATCCCGCCCCACCTCTGTAACCTGAGACTGCCTGTCCAGTCTCCCGTCTTTATCAGTATGAACCACTATATAATCCAGCTTCCATTTCATGCTACATTTTCTTTTCCATGTGATTCTCCATGAATGATCAAGACTATCCTACACATCATAGCACAAACCCGTATACAAACCCAGTCTCCATTAAATTTTCGGTTCCTTTCTCCACTTCATTCTCCGTTCTAGTAGCCGAAACTCTGGTTTTCTTTGCATAGTGCCTACATATGCCCTATGTGATCCTCATATAGCTACATATCCCTATGTAATCGCCGCTAAATATCCCGACAGAATCCGTACACATCTCTATAATATGGTCCTAGTACTTATTCCTTGTATAATCCCTACATGATCCCTACATATGCCACCAACCTAGACCCTTAACCACTATACCCAAACCCCTAATTGGGTGTAATCCCTACTAAGCCCGTAAAAGGCCGCCCACGTGCGATGGTTGGGCGGCGCTTATGCCCCTCGACTTCGATGGCGCAGGTCAACCCAAGACGGCATTTCTCTCCTGGTTGATTTTTCCGGGTCCTTACTTGGAGGGTCAGGGGGACTTTGTAAGTAGGCTAAATGGGGTTACTATATGGGTGAAAGGGGTTATTAACCTACGTACTAAGTCTCCTTGACCCTTCAAGTAGGACCTCTCAGTCAGGGGTCTCGAGCCGGAAGCCTCCCAGACAATGGCTCCAGACTAGGGGTTGCGAATGACCCTGCGAGAGAGCAGAATCAGATTTCTCGAAACAGGAAGGTGCGGCATGTCCGTCGTGGACGAAGAAAAACATGCATTAGGCATTAGGCCCTCAATCCTAAAATGAATAAGTTCGGGCGGCTCACACGGCGTGAATGTGTCTTGAAGCGATTCTGTGGCCGGACCTTCCCTTCTTCAGCGATGTATCACAGTAAACCCAAAAACCTAAATTCTACACCTTAAATCCTCAGCTCTAAATGCTGAATCCTAAGCCTGAATGTCCCCGAACCCTAAATCCCAACCCTAAATCCTAAAACCCAAACCCTACAGCCTAAAAACCCATCTTTAACGTCATGAGGCTCCGGGATGGTCTCGCCCTCCTCAGTCTCGACCATGTCCTGCAGGTTCAGGACGGCCTGCGCTGCCAGCATCGTCCCTTTACAGGGGGGTATAGGGGCTGTATACGGGCTATATAAGGGCAATGGAGGCGTTATTTGGGATATTTGGGGGTCATATAGGGCGAATGCAGGGATATATAGAAACATACAAGGGAGATGAAGGTTCGGGGTTTGGGCCTTTAGGCAACCTTATTGGGCTTAGCAACTTGGGACGAGGGCCTAGGGTCTAGTGCTCGAGGTTTGAACGCTCAGGCTCTCCTGGCAAGTTTCTAAGAGGGGCTCATGCATGTGTGCATGCAGCAAACTTCACTCAATCCGTGGGCCTGGGTCAGAACGTGGGGGGGGGGCCTTTTGGTGAATGTCTATATGGTAATTTCCCAAAATAGGGGGACTCCAAGAATAGCTCCCAATATACTATAGTCCTTACTATAGGGACCCCCAAAAGGTACCCCTACTTTTGGGAGACCCTGAACCCCAAACCCTATATAACCCCTATAAAGACCCTATATCCCCCTTTAAAGGTACCCCTAATTTGGGGAACCCCCTATATGTCATTTTGAACTGCAGAAGCGCTTCCGCTGCTGGACGCATTGCTACACACCTACCTGGCTTCCCCAGACCCCTGGGAGGATCCCAAAATCAGATCCCCTATATAGACCCAGGGTACTCCTATAGAATCCTTATAATATAATTTCCCATACGGTGATAGGGGATTTAATTTTTAGATCGTTTTGGGGGTCTGGGTCTTCAAGATCGTAGCCATGCGGAGACTGTGTCAACGTACGAGAAGTGGGCGCTCTTATCTTAACACATGGCAACCATGGTTTACACGGGCGTGAGTATGAGAAAATGGAACGATGTTTTTCTACCTGCTAGGATTGCTGATTGCCAGAGCTGTCGATTTTCTACTAGCTGTCAATTTTCTGCTTCGCGCTCTAGGTTGGGGCTATGGGAATCAGGCAGCCACCCTTCAGTTGCTACAAGCATTCTTCGGTATTCACAATTTATGCAGGACGCCGCCCACAACAGAGCGCAGTGCAGCTTCAGTCTGAGGAAGGCGATGGCCTCTGATTCAGGATAGGATGAAACTGCAAGGGGGCTAGTGGCTGTAGGGCAGTGAGATCCATCTGTGGCTGCTAGGGCACATCGAGTGTGAGGTCCGACGTTTGGCTGTTCTACGCAACATGCTTTTTACACCCCTAAGCCCCTAACATTGGACCGTTTACTCCGTCATGCCACGCGCCGCCAGTCTTCCGAGCAATTTCGAAGGTGCCAGGAAATTGTGGCTTGAAACCTCCCCACTTAGAACCTTTTGTCCCAGGCTCTGCTGGACCCAAGGCCACAGCAACCCAAACTAAAACCTCAATTCACAAGTCGACGTGCTGGCTGATGTCAGACTTCCTCGGAATAACTTGATTGCACTGTGCCAGGTCTAAGCACACTACGTCCCTAGTGTTGCACAAGCCTACAATTTACTGGCTTGCTCTTAATGAACTTCAATTCAGATACCACATTGTGGGTACATAGTAAATAATAGGATTTCCTCATTATAGTCACTGATTTTAAATTCCTTGACAGCGACCCAGTTTAGTCCCAAGGCTACTATGCCTCGCTAGAGGGGCTCTAAGATGATTGTCCGGGTGATATTGCAGTATGCATGGCAATGCAACAGGCCTCCCCAGAAACCTAAAATATATGATATGATGTAATATAATGCTACTATATCCTATCATATTTCATATACTGCAGCATGCCATCAATGCAATATAGCATTATCTCCTATCTCATTCCATTCTACCCTATAATACTACATATGGTACTTTCCCTCAATACGGGACCCCAATATACACTCTCAATAGTATAATCCTTGTTACGGGACCCCCCAAAGAGGTACCCTAACATCAGTCTGATGTTCGGGCCCGATCTGCTATTACTACCCCACCATCAACCCTAAACCGTCAACGAGAAAACTCCAAAGCCCAAACCCTTATCGAAGAAAAAAAACTAAACCCAAAACCCTATATAACCCATCATAGCAGCATTCACTTTATTCCCCATGTTTGCAGGCTCACCCTAAACCCTAAAGCCCTAAACCCCAAGTTGGCAGCCTCAAGCTGGACATCTGCATGGTTCAGTGCTGGGTCTGGGGGCGTGTCAAGCTGGTTGACCAAGGCCTCTGGCGACTCTGTGAATGAGGGATATAGGGGTTATATGAGCGCTCATATAGGAGTTCTATAGGGTTTAGGCTTTAGGGTTCAGATTCTTTTGATATAGGGGTTACATAGGGTTCCAAAAAGATATGGGGTTTAGGCTGTGGATGCTTTTTTGGAAGGATATTACACCCCCAAAATGGAGAATCAAATCGAAAAGAAAATGGAAATGAAATGCATCCTGGGGTTCTTTTGGATTTAGGGGTTTCGAACTACATCGAGTCTACTTGGGAGTTTGCCGGCATTCGGAGATTCCCCTAAACCCTAAACCCTAAATAGCAGTTTCCATTTTCTTTTCCGTAATCCCTATGTGACCTCCTAGCTTAGAGCCCTCGGGCCTTCTTGCGCCCCTGAAGTTTCTGAGCGAGATTGCCACTGTTCTGGGTTGCTGTTAAGGAGCTGAAACTACGTTATCATATCATCCCCCTATCGTGGAGAATCAAATGACAAGAACGTCAAAAATGAAATGGAAACTGGGGTAATGTAGGTCCTTAAGGAACTGACATTAAGTTACCATAATGGGTCTGCATAGTAGTTAATATGGTTCCCCAATATAGGAGCTCAAATTAATTTCCGTAACAGCAACCCAGTATTTCGCACTGAGAAATGTGTCCCAAACCTTGGTAGCCCCAAAGTGGGCCAGGGTTGGGGTAACGGTTCATTGTGACGCTTCAAAGATCTGCAAGCACAACCAGGCCTGAATGCCTCCGAGGTCCACAAACTTCTTCCGGTAACTGCAGGGCTTTGGGCTAAGGGGCTAAGATCTGAGTCCGTGGTCTGGGATCTGGGCTTTAGGACTGGATCTTGAATCAGGGTTTCTAGCCGGGTAAGCTGTGCAGCCACGATTTCTGCACGTAAAGGGTCTCGAGAGAAATCTGTCATTCTCAGGGGGTCTAGTAGCGGGGCGAAGGGATGACTTGAGATCCTGCAGCACGCGCTTTGGTTCCTGCTCATGCAGAGACAACATCCATTGTTAGATCAAGACTGAAGATGCTCCCAAAACCTGAAGGGCCAGCTCCATCAGAGGGCAACGAAGCCTGAACCACCTGAACTTCATTCGGTCCCTTGCGGTTCTATCTCTGCGCACTCGTCGTTCTCCATGCAGATGTTTCGTAGGGTGGTTGCTGCAGCAGCCCTCTCTCCGGCCTTAGCACTGCTTGTTTGATTGCATCACGTTCAAGGTATGGGGATTTAGCCTCAACCCCCGCACAGGGTCCCGTAATGTTTCATACTTTTGAGAACCCCAATTGGTCCCCTTGCATAGTAAACATCCCCGTTATGGTGTATTATGGTTTCCTGGCATTTTGCTCGCTTGGGATGGATGGATTTTTCGGGAGGCCAGGAGTCCCCACCGAGGGTTTAGGGTTTAGGGGATATTAAAACTCCCAAGCCCCTTCACTTGAAGCATTCCCAGCGCGGTGTGCTATAGTAGGTTGGGAATAATTATTGGTTTCAAAACACCCTCACCCTAATCACAAACTCCCCCATCCCCTCTTAAATATTCCCCCTAATATATACATAAACCCTAAGCCCTAAGCCCTTATGTATACTGGTACTACATGGGGGTTAAGTATTAGGGTGCGGGGATTTGTAGGGGTGAGCCTGGACTGAACCCTAAATCCCTAACCCCTAGACCCCAAACCCCTAAACCCCAAACCCATAATCCCTAAACCCCTAAATCCTAATCCCTAAACCCATAATCCCTAAACCCTAAATCCTGAACCCTAATCCCTAAGCCCCGAAACCCCTACAGCACCTTAGGCCGCGGCCACCTTTGAGTCGACGAGTTTCAACATCAACTCTAGGGCACCGGCATCGTAGGCCTTGCTTTAGACAGATATAGGGTTTAGGGTTTTAGGGTTTAGTGTTTTTTTCTAAGGTTTTAGGGTTTTAGGGTTTTAGGTTTTAGGGAATAAGGGATCATGGTATAAGTATATAGGGACAATGGAAAAGAACATGGAAACTACTAAGGGTCTAGGGTTTAGGGGTTTCGGGGCTTAGGGGTATTGGGGTAATATAGGGATACTGGAAAAGAAAAGGGAAACTAATATAATTGGTTATATAGGGTTCAGGGTTCAGGGTCAGGGTTATATAGGGGTAATGGAAAAATGGAAACTACTACATGCCAGTAGGGTATATACTAGGGTCATAGGGAATAAGGGAATGCATGATGGAGTTTACCGCTCCTGCGTTGGATGTTCAATGCAGGGAGTCAGGACGTCAGCCGCACAACTGAGTTGGGTGCTGCCACGACGTTTTCCTTGCAATCTGCCTGAGCTTCTGAAGTCTGTGGAAGGAGGGCATGTAGCTACCGTGGTTTTGCCGGGCCTCTAGTAGGAGCTTGCCAAGGGTGCTAGAGAACATCTACGAGGAAGACTTAGAGGGAGATGCGCAACGTCGTGTCGCATGCAGGCCTCTGGGAAATCTGGAATCAGAACTTGCGGTTCTGGGCTGCTGTCTTGCCCCAGAATTTTCAGCTGTTATTGTTGCCTGAAACCCATTGCTGTCTTACAGAGCGCACATAATTGTTAACACATTGTGTGACACGCCTCCATATACTCCTTTTTTGGGATGTTGCGAAGTTCACTATCTGACAAGGGAGTTTTTCTTTACACTCGGCTCTCCAGTTTGCGTCCTGCATCTGCAGCCCTGCAGAGACCGCACCAATAGGGATCCACAATTGTCAGAAGTCAAGGGTTGTTCGGTTTTGCATTTGGAATTCATCAGGACCCAACTCTGCTTAAATCGTCCAAGCAATCAGCCGGCAGATATCCGGCTACATTGTCAAGACTCTACACAACTCCCAACCAGCCAGTGTCTCTAAACAGTACCTAAACAATCATTTTTGAATCTCTATGTCCCCACACTTCTTATTTTGAGAAGCAATCCTACCTGAACCCACATGCCCCAATTTACAATCCAAGCCACTGTCAGAAAGCTGAGGGCGACCACGGCAGTCTGCACGCGGTCCTGGAATGCTGGAGACCGTGAAAATTGGTTTAGGGTTGTGTTCAGGGTCAAGTGTTTTCTCAAGGGAAGGCATAGGGACCTTGGGGATGTGCGGGGATAATCCAAGCTGCTGGAAAGGGCTCCATTGATGGAAGCCTTACCGGCAAAATCCTCCTTCCCCAACACCTGCCGAAATTTGATGTCAATACGGGTTCTGACAGAGAAGTCTGATGTTTTCTTGGGGAATTTCCTGGGAATTTCCGGGCATTTGGTTTTACAAGCTATGCATCTTGCAGAGGGTCTTCTACAGGCATTCGCGAACTTTGCAGTCCGGCATGCTGCCTGTCCGATTTTGCCCGCCATCTACCTCTGGGACTGAGGTCAAGGCATCGTTATGACTAAGCAACCATGGTGCTGCGGTGGGCCACTGGCCTCTTTGCACAACCCTGCCAACACGAACAACCTCTCCTGTGAAGAATCGCCCGCATGGGGCTTTGATAGGATCGGGTGGGGTTCAGCAAGGTACCGTGTGCATCTGCATAGTGGTCTGGGGCCGCCATCAGCAGGCTCCTGAAAACGCAGACGACCAGTGAAACGAGTGCCTACAAACATCTTGCCAGGACTACGGGCCAAAACCATACATATTCAGCATGTTCCGCAGCTCCTCCCGAAGTTCACTCTGACATTGATTCACCCTGATATTGTGTGGGTGGGGTAGCTGAAATGGAAGCAGGTTTCACCGTAGGTTGCCAATGAACGGTCTTGGCCAGCTTCAGCTGTTCTAGAGCCTTTTAAGCTCCCGGTCCTAACGTATGCCAGCTACCCCGGACTAAACAAGAGTCCGACACCTCAGTTCTGGAGTTGTAGGCTCCAAGTCCTTTCAAGTGTCCTAGTCTGCCGTACCACTGTATCTTAAAAAGCCGATTAGGGTGTACCTCTTTCATCTTCTTGACTGGCATGCTCCTGGAATTGCAATTTGCAGTACACATCTCAGCAGTTTGTCACCTAAATTTGCACCGAGCCTAATGCTTCCAGAAGTAGACTTTCTGTCCAAACACTCAACCTAAGTGACCATGCTCGAAATCGCCTCACACCCTGAACCCTAAACGCTAAGCAACACCACAGGCGGGCAGACATTCTGATCGGACTTGAGGAAATCTACCAAGGGAGGTATCGCGCCAGCCTGCAATCCATCATTTGATCCGGGGGGGATTGGGATAGGATAAGGAAAGTCCCATGAATGAAAAAAACAGTGGAAACAGAAATGGGAACCCTAGGTCCCTCTAGAGGGGGATATAGGGGAGACGTAGCGATATTACCCCAGTAATCAAACGTGAAATGGAAACTGGTTCTTGTACGGGTTGATAAAGATTGCAATGTAGAAATGGGTAGACTGTCAAAATCATGGTCCCTTGTGGGTTCCGATATAATACGGCCTCTATGGTGTTTTCTAAGATTCCCAGCACGATGCCATACTTTTGAAACACGGATCGTCCGAAGGTTCCTCAAGTGGTGAGCCCTGAGGATACAGAAGGATTTCGAGGGGATTCTGAGGGGCCTAAACCCTAAGCCAAGTGGATTATGTGAGGGCTCCAATGTGTAATCAGTGTTATCACTGGTACCAGATTACCAGTCTGGACAGCATGGCTCTTTTTAAGCCCTGGGTGTGTTTTTTACGGGGCCCTTCTAAAAGTTGAGGTCTTAGGATTTAAAATTGTACAGCATCAAAGATCTGTTGGTATGAGGCGAAGGATCCACGAGTCATTGTTTAAGGGGGGTGACCGCGCAAGGATGTGCAGGAACAGAAGCCTCTCTTTTGAAGTCCCCACCTACATGGGCCCCACATTTTCCTTTCACGCTCTGCCATCCTGCCTGCACTTTGAAATTTTCCATTCCCTCATGCTGGCCCTACATCCGCCGGAACATCTATCCGGGGGTAAGCAGAGGTCAAGTCTCCAAGGCGGGAGGCCCCTTTAAGGGGGATATAGGGGATGTATGGCAGTTTCCCTAAAATAGGGGCACCCCAAAATAGACCCCAAAATGCTACGATCCTTAATGGGACCCCCAAAAAGTACCCATAACTTTGGCAAACCCTAAACCCTACATAACCCCTATGCCCTCCTAAGATCCTCTATATTTCCCTTTAAAATTCAAAGGTACCCCTAATTTGGGGGAATCTTATCCCAATAATGGGGTCCAAGCCTTGCGAATATCGTCCTTGATCTGCTTGCTGGCCTGGCAAGGTACGTTTGAAAACTCCACAGCATGGCAGACACTTGAACTACTAAAGGGGGATATGCGTGATATATAGGGGTATATAGAGATTGTATAGAGTTTATTGTTTGGGGCTTCGCAAAAACTATAGTATGTTGGTGTCTATACTGGTGATCAGCTATTCTTTCTTCCCCAATTCCTTGGAAATATGATAACGGAGTATGCAGAGTCGAGCAGGATTTCGTCCGTGGATTGTCAACTTCGGTGTTGCCGCCGCAGCGGCAGCCACCGTCGTTGTCATCGTCGTAGTATGCTAGTAGTAGTAGTAGTAGTAGTAGTAGCAGTAATTATTGTTTAGTAGTAGTTATATTAATAAGTATTATTAATACAAGTGGTAGCGGGAGCAGCCACAATTTTAATGGTAACAACAACAACTTCTGCAAGGTTGGCTTGCAGCTTGTAGGGTTGATACTCTTGAACAAATGTAAACATCATAAAACATATCAGCACTGGCCTGGCAGCCCCGCAACCGCACTCCTGTTGCCCCTACCCCAAACCCTCCACGTAACCCTAAGGTGAACCCATGCAAAACACTTGCGTTCAGGGACTTCGATGCCAAGGGGTCACAACTTTTTGCAAGTTCAGTCAGAAGTCAGAACTGATGTTTACCAAGGACCTCGCACATATCCTGCTGTGACTCTCCATTACCAAGCTAGGGTTTAGGATTTCTTGAACCTGCCAAACACATTTTAAGGCAACTCTCAAAAGCTCAAAACCCATGAAGTTCTAGTTTCCAAACGGCCTTAACCCGCAACAGCGAAATCCTCCACCACCACCACCACCACTGCTGGTACGGCCGCCCCACCGCTATGACGGCAGTGGAACTGATTAACACGAATCACTAGCATAATACTAAACCTTATCACCGCACAAAGTATACGCTTACCGAGAACAAGATGGTCACGAATAATTAGAGGAACTGTAGTCATAACAGCGCATCGTAAGCTTGCACGTGCCAATGTATTATGCTGATTCAGGGAAGCTCTAGACCCTCAACCACGGTTGATGGGAAAGTCAAGACTTTATATGTGGCAGTGTCCCCTCGGTCGCAACGTTGCGCTACACAGAACCCCTTACGCAATCTCCATGTATCTATCCCAAAGGGAGTGAATCTTGGACGTGCTGCTACATTACCCTCTGTAAGTTTTCTTTGAAGAAGCACGAAGAAGTATGGCTTTCAAAATACTGGCAAAGGACATTTGCAGGCTTACTCAATCAGGGGTACCCAGGTCAAGGATTACAGTGTATTAGGGTCTCCAAGTTCATGGATGGTAGTTTCAAAAGCAGGGGAGCCCGATATAGACACCAAAATACTAAAATCCTTACTACGGGGAATCCCAAAATGGTAACCCTAATTTTGGGAAACCGTAAACCCTACAAATACCAAATACCTATAGATGCCCTATACACCCTTCAAAAGGTACCATTAATTTTGGGAAGCCACCGTCTCACAGCCCGCTGATCCCTATACCCTGAACTCTAAACCCTAAATCCTAATCCTGAACCCTACATCCAAAACCCTAAATCCTATACCCACCCACTACCCTTCTCATTCTGTAGGTGAGTGGGCGCCGTCAAGCGCCAGCGAGACCATGGGAGGCTCTGCACTAGGCTGCAGAGCCTGCCGGCCCTCCCTAGGGGGGTTGCCAAGCTTGGTCGCCAAGCTATGTCACGCTCTTATATATCATAACCCTAGACCCCAGCTTTTTGTTGTGACTGAGCCCTGAAAAGAGGCTCTGGGACCTGCCCCTGTAAGTCCTGGCAGACCATTTCTGAACGTTTTCGATCGGGCGTCAAGCCTCGCCCGTTCTGAGCCTTTCCCAAACCGTCTGCTAAAGCGTTTCTGAGCGCCTTTGCCAGACAGTTTCTGAGTGTTTTCGATCAAGCCGTTCCAAGCCTTTCCCAGACCGTTTCTGATATGACGATGGCGGGCAGCTCACGTGTCCGGGAGCGGGGTAAAACTGTGTAAGGGTCCTTCGGCCCAGACCGTCCCCGAACACAAAACCTAAATTTTCATCTGGAACATATAGGTAAGACAATTGAACTAACACGCACTTCCGACCCTGGAGCGGATAGAGCTCTCAGAGGGCTCTGCAACTCTTTAACGCCAAGCCCAAGATTCCTTGGTCATCGTGATCTTGATTGTTTCCTGAGATCCCCGTCCCGATGCACAGTGGAGGGATTTGCGAATCAATGAAAAAATTGGTTTTTCTGCCTTTGGTTTGGCTGGCTCTTTTGGCTCGCTGTGAGTAGTGCTTGGGTGGCCTTGGGGTGGGCAAGTCTGCATACTGATGCGTCCAGCTGACCAATGCTACACCCTAAACCCTCCCATCTGGCCTCAGCCTTTTCGGCCGCAGATGCCAGGATGGCCAGCTGAGTGCCGGCCAGCGCGCCGACCTTTTAATATTGGTTCTCAGTAAGGAATAAGGGAATATGTATGTATACATATATATATACATACATATATATACACACATAAAGGGTTCGGATTTGGGGTATACGGTCTAGGGTTCAGGCTTAGTAGGGCCCAAGGGAATGTTTTATACAGGGATTATAGGGAATCAGGGAAAATACACACATAAATATATATATATATATCTATGTATATGTAGAGGGTTTAGGGAGTAACGGAATGTTTTATAGGGATTGTATTCCTATGCCACCTACTGAGAACCAGTAAGTCTACAGGTCCATTCATGTTTAGGGTTTGGGGTTGAGGGGTCCTCTTTCGAGGTCCCCCATAGCCAGGATTAGAGTGTATTGGGGTCTACATCAATGGAATGAAGTTCGCCCTATTTATGGAAACTATTGTCATGTAGAGATATGAGATAGATAGGACTTTGACGGATTAAGGTTTTTTTTGCAAGAATTCGGCCTTCAGGTAACCCCAATATAACCCTATTACACTGTAGTAGTCTCCATCCTATTTTCGATTAATTATATAACCCTACTATACTATAGTAGTTTCCATAATACCTTCTGGGGTCTTGAGGACTTCGGGTTTGGGAGGCACGTTGGCGCAGGGTTTGGTGTTCAAGACGCTGTGCTTAGGCGGGATTGCTTTGCATGTCCTCTTTACCGTCGTTTGCTTCACTGGGCCTGTAAATCTTAGGTAAACTTGCTGCAATGCTTTGCAACGCCTATTTTGGAAACTTTTAACCATATGTCATAAAGCTCTGTGTGGCAGCCAAATTGTTCGTGCCCGATTTTTGTGCGTGTCAAAGTTGCAAGAGGATCCACTAGCTTCAGGGTACATTCGGAAGTTCTTGGAGAAATAAGACGTTTTTTGCCACAGCTCAGTGAACAGGAGCCTCTTGAATCATCCTGCATCATGAACAAGCTGAAGCGCAGACTCTCAACTCTCAAGCCTCAACTCTACACCCTCTGACCCTGCTTGTAAAAGGTTTTCAAGGACTTCTACATGTCTTCTACTGTTTTTCTTGCTTCCTCACGCTCTGGAACCCCTGGACCACGTACCCAACAGCCACAATCCATCGTAAACTGCCAGCGATGCCTAGGCCTTGTACTTGTACCTTGTCAAGACAAGCCTCAACTACATCAACCTCATTGCGCCCGAAGCACTTAACTTACTGGGGATTGGTAGGGGAAAATGGAATATAATATACAGGGATAATATTCCTGTAGGTAAGTCAATTCAAATCTTGGGACCCTGGCGGTCTTGGGGTCCTCGGCCCAGGGGTGCATCCGCTCGTCAAACGACCTTTTGGCTGTTGGAGAAGGCCGCGGCTGGCAGCAACGCTGGCACTAGCACAGGAGGCGGTACTACTGTGACGATGCAAACAATTGAACACATGTAGTGCTCACCATAATCTTAGCCAATACCACTGCAAACAACCTGATCTCCGACCCCGCATGATTAGAGGACTCTCTGTAGCCAACTTGCAATTTTGGGAGTTCGAGGGGTGCCCGGATGCTACGGGGATTCAGGCGAGCGCACTGGGATTCAGGCAAGAACCTTAACCTATCCTGCCAAATCCGATACTCGAAACCAGCACCCTGTAACCCAAAGTAACGCCATTGCCCGAGCTAAGTTGGGACTAAGATTCGCGCTCGATCGCCTGCCAATGGTTTTCAAGAGCTATCTCCAGATCGAAGCTCTTGGTTTTGGGCTGGGGCTATACAACTGTCACACGGTCTACGATTTGGGTGGAGGTAGTCCAATTCCGGCCCCTAGGGATCGCACGGCACTGACAGAGCATGAGTATCCCGGGCCCCTGCGATCACGCAAAGGCGTACTAGTAACATGCTCCAGCTAAGAAAAACCCAAAGTTCTACTGTCAAGCCATTCCCTGTTTGTCTAGAACTCCGAGCGCCCAACGCTCCTGTCTTTGTGAATTTGAGAGCGGGCCGCATTTCAACAAGGGCTTGTGCCAAGAAAGCAAGAGCAGCTTTCCCCGTAAGATTTCTACACATGATCTGCAGGTTTAAGCAGGCTGCAGCACTTCAGCTTGAGATGGCATCTTCAAGCTCCTGGACTACCCATGTTGGAAGCCTGATTGACTGGACGTCTTGGAGTTGCGGGAGAACAGGATGTACTGCTACTGTCCCTACTCGCCCAAGATCCAACCCCCTCGACTGCCTTACACATCACAAAGCTCAACCTTTCAACCCTACACGAAACATTGTTTACATCCGAAGACCTTTTCGAGTCTTTCCCACCGACCGCTGATGGTGGCACTTCGGACCCCTAATAGGAGCATCAGGGAATCCCAAAGGGTTAAGGGTCTAAGGTCCAGGCTAGGTCCCAAGGAGATAATTCCCATTTTCCATTTTCTTTTCCATTATCCCAATACATCCCAATTCAACCCTAATATTACCCCAGTGAGTCCCATTTTATAACGTGATGGAGGCGAAAAGCTGAGGGATCCATAGGTGATTTTTCACCACGTACCAGGCTCGGGCACTGCCAAGGCAAATGCTGTGAGCTTTGTAAGCAGGAAATATGATCCCCCATGATAAGCCTCAAGTCGTGGAACCCAAGCTGCTACGAACATCAATCGGAGAGGGAGGCCTGCAAAGTTGACACAGCTCCAAACTGACATGTCTGATAGGTCGCGACCACAACGACCACTACGATGATGACTATGGGTATTGCTACATTACTAGAATTACTGCTATTTTTGTACCAATTGCATGGTTACAGTACCACTGCTGTTACTAGCATTTTGTGGCAAATAGCAGCCCTGCTGCACCCTGCCTGCTGCGACGAAAGCAGCTCCACGAAAGCTTTCAGGTCGTTTGTCTCGAAGGCCTCTCAGGGGCAATGCAGGTGCTTAACACAGGAGAGAGGGTGCTCGAGGTACGTTGGGTTCAAAGAGCCCAGATGCCAAATCGCGGACGGGTCCTTCGGGAAGTATGAACGCATGGAAGCCAGGCCAGTTTGCTGAGCTCAGCGCTCCATGTCATGTGCGAGTTGAAGATGCCCACTAATTGGACGTCTGACCCGGCCTTGTCAAATTTCTCCGAATCATCCCCTTTGGAATGATATCCGATGGAGATTGCCTGGCACTGGCAGGGTCAACAGGTCACCTGCCAAGGGCTAGGACATGTAACGCGGAATGGCATCCCCGAAAAATGTCCGGTTGTAGCTTTGACCATGCCAGTCCTTGTAGGAGATCCCTCTTTAAAACGGGTAGTGGGTGTTGACGGTATGCTCGATGTGTTTTTGCTCCTGTCTCCGCATGAGAGGTTCCCCTGCCATCATCCCGTCGGCCTCAGCAGAACCACAACCAGAATACAGAAAATCTTGCCACAAACCCTGCTACTCAAATCTTGTGCTGACCATTGCTGTTACTAGTATTACTCGCGTGCCTCTTGCTGTCACCGTCAGTTCAAGTTTCAGAAGGCCATCTTAGCGGCTACAGAGGCCCATGGTCTTTGAAGCTCCATTTTTCAAACCTTGGAGCATTTGAGAAGTTCGGGCTTAGCCAAAAGGCTCTGAATTAATTTTTGGGGTCTGGTGTACAGATTGATTTCAATTTGAGGCCAGCCTCGCGGGGCTTGCAGGTCACACTGCTACAAAGCTCCGGACCCATATTTATCAGCCATTGAGAGCGCTCTCTGTCTGGAGACCTTCCGGAAGGTGGGTTATGGGATCTCGTTTCTGATCGTACAAGAGCACAGGTGCTACATGCAAGCATGGCAGCATCAGAGCATGTCGTAGCAGGACATCAGCATGATGTTTAGCGATGTAGACGTCAGTTTAAATTCTGAGCTTCCTAACAATAGATTCCTCCTAGGATGGGATTAAAGCAAACGAAGCAGAATGATTGCGATCAAACATCTGGAGTGAAAAGCGAGCAGGGGCGGCTCTCTTCTTATCGTAGCTTCCCCCCGCCACCTCAGCATGCGGATTTCCATGAATGCTTTGAGACTGGGATCCTCAGAACGCACGTCAGAGATACATGCTCAGGGAGTGCAGTCTTGAGAAGTCGTGATGGAACGGGTGATGCTTGTGAGAAAGGAGTTGAGATGCTGGTTCTGGAATACCAGCTTCGGTAGGTATTGTATCCACGACTATGCTCATCTGCGATACGACCCGGCAAAACCGCAATTACGGCAACTGATACACGCTAGATGATGTTGCTAGGAGGATCCTCCACCAGTGGATCGTGATCCACGTCAGGGGCCAACACGTACCCTACAACAAACAGATGCAAATATTGATATAAGGGACCCCGATATAAACTCTAATATACTATACTCCTTCTGATGTGGCCCCCCAAATGGCCCCCCAAATTTTTCAAAACCCCCATAAGGGATGGCTGCGCCGACAACAACAGCAGCCAGTTCTGAGGCTTGCAACTTATCCTTTGACCAGGAGTATTCCCATTGCACTGAAAATGTTGATCATCATCAAGGCAAAAAGCATTCATCTTATGCGAGCCTGCCGGGAAGCTCGTAATTTGGGAACAGTTTTTGGCCAGCTTCGTGCTCATGCAGCAGTAGCGAAGGTCGTGATACCTGTGAGCGAAAATATCCGTGTAAGCTATTTTGAAGTCTGACCAAACTTGGTGATCCTGCAGCCATGATTACGCCCGTGCGAGGAGGAGGCTTTGAGGTCTTCTGCATTAGCATCCTATAAGGCTCATGCAGTGATGGAAAATGCCAACAGCTAAGTCTACCCGAATTACCACTGAAACATGGAAAGTGCCTGAGGTCTCGACAGATTTGCGTGCCCCTGCGACGAGGGCTTAGGACATCAGTGCAAAAACTCCGAACACCCTCCAAGTGACAACCAGGTCAAGAAGACACGACATACTTTAGACCTGCGACTAGCGTTCTTGCTTGGCGTGCTATAGAACGTGGGAATGCGTCTTATGACATGGTGCGTTTGAGCTTGCAATCCCAGGGACACTCCACCTCCCACTAATCATCCCAATTGACAATGCTGCAGTAGAATGGGTGAAAGCCTTTGAGCGGCAAGTCCATGTGCCGCTCTGCTCTAAGTGCCTTCCTCCAAGCCAGGATCATGCTATAAGAAACTGAGTTGCCCTCGCTTCAGTAAAGCTTTCATTGCTCAAGGCTCGCTTGAAGATCTTGAAACCGAAATGACTCCCAATTTCTTCTGATGCCGCGGGGTTTCTCGTTAAAGGCTAGCCTTGTTGACTTGTTTCGGCTAAAGGTTAGGATTTCAGGCCATCATCCAAACCCAGGGCTTCTGTAGAATCCTACCCAGGCTTGATTTTCGGACTCCACTAGGCTGCTTCTCAAAATTAGCCCTACGTGATCCTCGATCTGACCCCCTATATTTCATGGATGCTCCCCTTGAAGGTCCCTTGTTTTCCTAGGGTCCCTACGGCAAAAGTTTAAGGGTTTAGGATTTCCCCGCTTTTGAGACCTCCCCCCCCGAACGCCACTCTCATACAGCATCATTGCCTTGGTCTGCAGCTGTCTTGCTCTCCTTCGCACACGACTACAACATTGATGTTCCTTCCGAAGCTTTGCGTTCCCTTTTTGAGAGTCCCTATTATAAGGATGAAAATATTCTGGGGTATACATGGGGACCTGCATTGGTGGAAATGCCCATGCCTCTAAACTACAATCCTTCCTTGGATTCCTAAGAAACATGGAACCTTACCGCCTGACCGCATCATACGAGTCACCTCCCTGAACCTGGGCCTATTGTGTAGGGCTTGGTGGTCTTGTGCTCATAATTTACATGCGCTGTCCTTCGGAGTGGTCATGATGCAAAAACCTTGTGCATTATATACATATATCTTCCCTACATACATTTGTAGGCAAGAAAAACTTGCCCAGTCTAGAATAGCTCCACAGTTCACAACTCCATTCTCCACTGCCGTGACCCTAAAGCCTGAACGCCAGGCCGCGCTTCTATGGTCTGTGATGTTGGTTCCGGGTTTACGGTTCGGGATGTAGCGCTTGAAGCTTCTGGTGAGTTCGGAGTCCGGACATGGAGTTTCGGACGGAACCCCGCCCCCCTAATGTTCAAGCCCCCCACTCCCCCTGGTATATTATGATACATCACAATGGTGAGCATCATTAGGGGGGGGTGGGGGTTTAATGTCAAGGGGAGGGGATTAACACAACAACAGCCCAAGTGGCAGGAATCTAGGGGTTCGCGGAGAGACGTATTTCAGGCTTCCTACCCACTCAGCATTCACTTTCGACCTCCCGCTTTCGAATTCTTCCTCCTACTTCCTATGCCCACATTCAAGTTGTGCTGGAGGAACGAATGAA